GTCATATATTCTTATTAAATCCATACGATACATACCCATGGAACAAAGTCCGGGTCCATAACAACGAATATCTTGTATGTTAAGATCAACTATGACAGCAAATGGTGATCCTGGTATATGTTTTCCTGCATACAATATATTAATATTGTAATTTCCAGCGACTTTATATAATCAATATTTTATATTTAAAGTAATAATGACAAAAGAAAGATCTACCTTTTGGATAATAGGTTACTTGAGGTCTACCATAATCATTATATTGAAAATCAATTGTCAATGCTGATGGTCCTTCAATTTTTATATCCAATTGAATATTATCAGCATCATTTGTATCAATAATGAAATTAGCTGGTTCATTAACTGTACCTCGTGATAGACCAGGTCCATAGGCACGTATTTCAGGTTGTTTAGGTGACCAAAGTGGTTTTCTTGATTCAACATCGACTTGGATTGGTGATATTGGTATTTCATGATCACAAAATAAAACATTTATAAAATGTACACCCGGTAATTTAGGTGTATATTCAATGCGAAATATTCTATCTTGATCACAAATAATATTGTATGATACATCTTGTCTGTATGCATCTTTTATAACGACTAATATGTTGCCTGAAAATTAACATTTTTTTAAAATGTACAACAGCTGTTAATACAATATCTGTAGGATTAAAATTTGCCATATGATTTAATTGCTCTTGTTAATCAAAGTGAAACTTTTTGATTCTATCTATTCTAGAATGCATTAATTTAATTTTCCAAGAATACAAGAAGTCATTAGTGACGAAAGGCTATTGATATAAGTATCCTTTGTAGTGATAATCAAGTGTGAAGGAAAGAATGTTCTGAATTCTATCTCTCTATAGTTCAATCCTTCTCTTAGATCGTATTTCATAAAAATTCTTTGGTTTTTACCTGGACCAGCTTCTTTGTAGTCTACAAAAAAGTGTGTTAGATTATTTATTTTAACATCACGTTCGACACCAGGTCCATAAACATGAACTTTTGATGGATCTATTGGCCAAATCTAAATTGAATAATTATTCATTTTTTCTAATTTTATAAAAGTAAAAACAGAAATTTACTTGAAATGGACTGTTTGGTATGGCGACACTTCCAAAATTTATAAAAATCCAGTGATACAAAAGAGTTTGTGGAGTATATTGGCAAGTATATGTTCCATCACCATTATAAGAAACTTGCACGTTAACTGATTGACGTTCTTGATCTATAGCTGAAACATGTAATGGTGCCTCACCAGCAAGATGTGTATCAATAGTGAATTTATTTAGTTGATGAACAATTTGTCCAGTACGCTCAATTCCTGCACCATAAGCTATAACCTAGAGATTTTTTTGTTTGTTCTTATGAAATCGAATAAACAGAATAGAATATTTTATTTACCTTATTTGGAGCGAACATTGTTCGTGCTACAATCCGAACCATAAATGGTGATAATGGAATATCTTTACCATTATCAAGAACATGTACTGCATATTTTCCGAATGCCGTTGGCCAATAAGTTACATTAATCGAACCATCGCCATTATCCTTACGTTCAACACGTGCTTTTGATGGTCCTTTGATTACTACGTCTTTGAAAACCAACAAATATTTATTACTATTTTTTGAAGTATATAGCAAATAAAAATCAGTAATAGAATAAATTTGATGCTTTCAATAAACGGAATATAAAAAGAAAAAAATAAATATGAATGTAAACATACCTGTATCTCCCCGAATGAAAATAAGTTAATAAAATTGTAAAATTAATCAAGAAGCAAAGAGATCAAAATAATAAAAAAACAAGAAAATTACATAAAATACCTAATAAACCAGTTTCACCATGTGTTTCAATAACAAAAACAGCTGGATAACCGACAACACCACCCTCAAGTCCTGGACCAAATGTACGAATACGTGAATCTTTTTTTGGTCCGACCTCAACTAGAAATGGGCTTCGTGGAACAGGTGTACCATCATATGTTATGTTAACTGTATGAAGTGTAGCATGAGTCGGTACATAATCACATTCATAAGTTGTTTTATTAAGTTTCCTTACTCGGCAAGGAATCTGCGAACCATCTTAAGTAATATTTATTTATTTAAAAATAAAATAGGTAAAATAATCAATTCTACCTGGCTCAGTAACTGTTGGTTTCATAATACCCTCACCAGCAGATCCAGTAATAACATAAAAATCAGCTATGTCATCTATATGAACACCTCTTGGTTGTATACCGCGTCCAAAGACATCAAATTTTGTACGATCAGATGCTCTTGTAGGATCAGATGCTAAAGCTTAATAATAATAAAAAAATATCGATAAAATCTTCAAAAATAATAAACTAATTAGATCTTTGCAATGTAACTAGACTAGAAACAAGAGAGAGAGAGAGAGAATTTAATGGTATTCATCATTCGGAGACAAGGACAAATGCACTACTAACTGCATTAAATATAACTATAAATAGTAATCAATGTTGACTCTTTGAAAATCGATCAATGACAATTTTATTCCCGAAATTGTATCGTTAATAAATGACAATCTTCAAGAACTTGAATTTTCAAATCGTTCGACTGTATTCAATTCCTGATAATCATAATTATAAAATATTTATGATGTCATAATAAATAGCTGAAGTAATTATAAAATTTCATCATTATTAAAAAGTAGTTACATATAAAAACGTAATTCTATTACAATTTTTTTAATGATTACATTACATGTTTTTTTTTTATCTGTCACTAATTAAAATAAAAGGAATGATAAAAGTTTCCTTCCCTTCTTTAAAAAAAGAATCATATCGATAATTAGTACAATTTCATAGAATTGATAGTTCTTGATTTATAACTCATCTTGTTTTTGAATTCAAATAATGAATTATAATTTTCCTCATTTGTTGTTCAACTATCTCTAATATCAAATTCATAAAGAAACTGAAATCATTAGAATTTTAAGTAAACTTTTGTGCAATAAAATCATCTTTTGTAGAACTCATATATATTTTCGAAGAAAATAATGACTATAGGTTTTAAGTCGAGGCTTTGTGGCTCTACACTTCTTTACCTATTACAGGTTTTTGACAACAAATCTTAGATTGAGTTAGTAGAAGAACGATTCTCTTTTCCTTCCTCCGCATTTGAAGATTCAAGTCGTTTTGCTAGAAAATTTTAAGATGTTTTCATAAACTTTGAAAATGTGAATAAAAAAAAAAGTTTTTAATATCAAAAATTTCTGCGCAATCACCGATCTATCTCTAACTTTCGACATTTCGGAAGATGTTCAGTAGCTATGTGTTATAGTTTTGAGAGCATAGCACACATGAGTTCTATATTTCAATCCCTAACGGACTGCGTCAATAACTTTTTTAAGTACATACATGATTTAACATTTACAGGATATGGACTATTTGGTGCAGGTTGGCCATCAAAATTAACATTAATCCGATGAGGACCAGGTTCGCGTGGGTCATACTCACAAAAAAATTCTCCTGGAGCTTTTCGTTCAATTGATACAGATACTGTGTTCTGTTGACCCTGTGGATCAGTAATACTAGCTTGAACAGGACGATTACCAGCATCTATGATATTTATTAAATTAAACTCAAAGAAGAAAATAAATTCTTCAACAAACTTTTAACATCAACTTGGAACCAAGTTCGTTTATTGGTCATAACACCATCTGATTGAACACCTGGTCCATGGACGTCTATCTCCGTCTGCTTATAAAACAAAAGTAATAATATTAATACTACTTATTCACCATATTTAACAGTAAACTAATCAGATAAATATTTATATACGCTCTACTAATTACGAAAATTACCAAAAGTTTTTCTAGCTTTTAGACAGTAGAGTTTATTAAAGCTATATTCAGCTTTTCGTTTCTATGAGATATAAATCAAAGAAAATATAGAAACTTTCATGATTGCAAAATCTTCTAAATTCGTCTAGTTTTGAGAAATAGAGCTCATTAAATCTATACGTACCCTCTGGGATCCATTCAATATGCAGAAAAATATTGTAGAAGTTTTTTTAAACAGTTACTGAAATTTTTTAGAAACTTATTAGTGAGAGCTAATTATTTTCGAAAGTTAATTATTAGTTTGATCGTTACATGCTCGTATTTTCTGTAGTTACTAATGAATTTGCTTTTGCGTAATTGATATTTATTGGAATTATTTGCTAAACTCATTTCATTGAACCGGTAGTTATAGAAATTATGAAGAAATTTCTTTCTCATTATTATCGTTAATATGGGAATTTCTAGGTATTTGTTATAAGTGAACATGTTTGTTTTGACATGTTATGTAGGAAATTTTGTAATTTTTGGAAGTTTTTTTTTTGAGAATTTGAACATACCTCAGAAGAGCTACGACAACAACAGATAGCCTTACATTTGGCTTTTCCACTTCGGAATGCCTTCATAAATGTGTAGATATAAATACCAATATAAATTACAGACAACACCAGTATAAGTACGGCAGTGGCTAATTGACTCTTGGTTACTGACACTGCAATATTTTAATCACCAGCACTGATCGAGTAGTCTATTGAAATATCGATTAGGTTATATCTAAAATATGAATCTATAATGAATGTCTGATCAAAATCTATGAGAACCGCCGAGAATATAAAAGCTAGAAGATTTTCTACTAATCCATATGTGGGCCCAGTAAAGTGATGTTTTATTACAACAAGCTAGAATAATGAAAAAATTTTATCATATTGTTGAACATCAATTAACTCATTGTAATGTGTGTGTCTAAGAATCGATATTCTAATAAGTAATATTCGAAACATTGACCTGGAGAGCTTGTCTTCGAATACAAACTCACAGTACATCGTAAACAGTTCACACATTTCGAAAGTCAGAGAACCAGAACGATATACTCATCTCTGTCTAGTAGCGAGTGTGTATATGAAAATGAGCATGATTTCTAAGTGTAGTTATGCTAAAATAATCATGATAATTAATAAATCCTTCATGAATAAAAACTAGCGACAAATTAAATGTTCAATAAAATTTGTTCAGTATTATATTCAAATGTTGTAAAGAAATCAAACGATCAGTACAAAATTCAATGATTAAAAAATTCATTTACTCAGTAAAAATTAGTATTATTATCAGTAATCACTTATTTTCTTTTCCATGAAAATATTTTGATTTAAACAGACACGCAATTGTCCGTATTGAATGATGACGACGTCATAAGTCAACATACTATGTTATATTGTAACCCTCGATAATTGTATATATAAATTGTATCGCTTATTGATGCTATGTTTTTTTAACCTACTTTTTCTATTCTAGTATAGGTGTTCGATCTTTTACAGTTATATATAAAGATGAATACATTGTATTCTCTCTTTGTTCTCAATGTAACAAAGATGAAGAAGATTCTCGATATTATCCCCGTGTTTGCTCCTTTGTCTAATCCTATATAAATAGCTCGTTTCTTCTAAAGAAATTGAATTTTGATTAACCATAATTGCTATTGCTAATTTGATCTTAAAATGGAGACGGCCTTAGAAATTGTTGAAGTTTCAACTTATGTTTCTGACGATAAGATGGATACAAGTGAAACTATAGAGAGTGTGAGTGTAGGCATTGATCTCGATGTCACTGATCAGAACAGACTAATATCCACACCTACACTCACATACATTCTTTACTGAAATAAAATAATAAAAAACCGAACAAAAATAGGTTAAATACTGAACATTTTTAAACTAATTACTAAACACTTTAAAATTAATTACTGAAATGTTTGAATTTTTTACAGAGCTTCATGAATTATTTAATGAACAAAAGTTATTTTTTTAATTAACAAGAACTACTGAACATCTGATAAAAAATTTACTGTACATTCATCATAAAATACTGAACGATTAAATACAAGTCATAGAAAAATTTAGGAAATATAAGTCTCAAGAGTCCCTTCATTGTTTCGAAGTAATACTGTCGAATATAGAAGATAAAATCTTCAATGATGGGTACATTTTTCAAATTAATAGTTTCTTATTATATACTTTAATCTCATGTAATTGAGTCATCTTTGACTTCTATGGAATTAGCCTTCTGATGATGAGCACGTACCAAGGGGGAAACAGCTAAAATCAGATCTTTTTGATTTTTCTGATTTTTCGATTTTTTTGATTTGAAATAAAATATCAGCTGCTAGTTTTGATTAAGAAAACATTGCATTTTATAGCGTTTTATTTGTAATTCAAACGAAATACCGTTTATCCCTCGCAACATCCACTATCTACAGATTTTCCAATTAAGAAACGGCTTTTCTGTTGATATACATTTGAAATACAAAGGAGCTATATCATATAAGAGACCTAGCGTTCTAAAAAACTTCCCCTAATCATAGGAGAAGGAGAGTTATCATTAACCTCTTATTGCTTTTGATAGTCTTTTTCATTTATCACAAGTGAGTTTTTTAGCACCTGGGCTCTACTTCAGGCGAGTAAATTTTTTATGGTTGTTCTATTAGAAATCTATGTAGTCTGATGAAGCTAGGTGCACTGACCAGAAATATTGCATCTTTTTAAAGTGCTAAATATAGTCAGAAAAATCTAAAGTACTGTCTGGAAATTCTAAAAAAGCAAATTTTCACCTAAAATCAGGGACCCTGATAGGTCACTACACTTGCCCAACTGCCATATTTTCATGAAGTTTTTACTCAGAAAGTCCGTCCTTTACCAGAAAGCGAATGCATCACACTGTAATTTAGAAAATATTTCCTAGGGAAGATGAGAAATAGGTTTTATAATTAAAAGCCTTCACATACAATTTTGAGTGTTGATGGATTGTCGCTGCGTTGCATCTAGCCTATTTTATGTATTAAATTTATTCATATTGGGACGTTACTCTTCGCAGATTTGCTTTCATTGTGAATAAAGATTTTTATAGAAAGCGTTGAAGAAGTTTTATGTTACTGATTTATATTTATACAGTTGTAATATGGCTGAATCCAGTACTTGATAGATCCTCTTGAGAACGTTGATTAAATGAATTCCATAGATTATCGTCCAAAAAATAGAGTTTCTCTCATATGTTAATATTGGTTGGCTCTAGTCAGCAGCCACATAGTAGAGTAAATCATTAGATTTTCTGATTAATCATGATATTTTGATATCAGTCATTTCTTTCTCTGATAAAGATAGCTTTCTACTAGAGATGGAACCAGTTCAGTTCAGTTGTTTTTAAAAAAAATTTGGTCCAGTTAGGTTTAAGTTTCGAAAAGCCTGAACTGACCTTATTTCTGTTCTCTACTTCTATTGAAGACTTCTCCTAATATTCACATGAAAAATACAGTGGAAATACCTTAACACATAGCCAGGCCAGATCGATGAAAGCAAACAACAGGGACAGGCAACCGGAAGAGATTCATACGCTCTCTAGAGCAGTCAAAGTCTGTGAAAACTGGACTGCTTGGGTCTCTGCTACATAGATTATTAAAAGCAGAACTAGATTTGTTGACAATACGTTCGGATTAAGCAAAATGTTTTTTACCATCACAATTTACTACAATATCCTAAACATTTGATGCTTTGTCTATCGATAAATGTCAAATACCTCCCTCCCCCAGTCGGATTCTCTTATGCCTAATAAAGTATTTTTGGATTATTATGAAGTTAAACTTTCTATGATTATGTCAGCTCCATATTTTTACGAAATATACCATTCAATCTGCAGCTTTATTGATGTAATTTTCTACTTAGAATTAAATATCTAGTTAAGGACTTTGGCTCAAATCAAGGTGTATGATTGCTAGCTTTATACTTTTTCGACTAATATTCGACTACCTTCAGATATAAATTACTTCCATTTAATTTAAATAAAGAATATGTTTTAAATTGGCATCCTGAGCTCTCATATGCCATCAGATGTTTAGAATTTTCTCATTAGTCGCACTCTTATTTGCATCAACATTGCTAAATTGCGGAGGATATCAAGAGTATATCTTCAAGCTGCGCAAGATCTATATCACCTTTATAAAAGCATTTGATTACGACAATCTAAATGGAAGAAAAAAAATGTACTGACTACTAGAGACATCATTACTTGTCCAAAGGATTCCAAAGGTTACTCATAAAACTCCCGAAAATTTTCCTAAATTAAAATTCTCTTTTATCATTTGTCATATTCGACACTCCAGGTAACATGTCCATATACTTATCCAACAAAATGTTTCCATTAAAACTCGGTTTTCTGATAGGGTCTTTATCAAATCCATTTCTCTTTATTTATTGAAGGAGTCCATGGATGAACATCAAGTGGGACCAGAAGCCGCACAAGCTATTTAAATACACTTATCAATTGAGTTTTGGGCGTTGCTTTGAAATATGCCTCTTTTGAAGTCAAATGGGATTATCTCTACCTGAAAATCATCAGATATTATTCGAAAAGTTGTGACCTGACAAACGCATATCTTGGTTAGGGTAAGAATTCTATACTAAATATCGAATTTAAAGTTAAAAATAGTACCAAAAAAGTGCAGACCACATTATAGCCATAGAAAAAGAATAATCGAAAAAAAAATTCTAATCTCATAATAATCTAAAAACGGATTTTTAAATATAATACAACCCAAGTGGGGCTATATTTGTCATTTATCGAAAGAAAAAGCCTTTGATGTCTGAGATATTCTTGTAGGTTCTAATGGAGAGAAACATTTTGCATCATATGAGCCTTTTGTAGATCAATTCAAGACGCCTTTAAATGGGCTTCCAACTAAAAAACTGTTTTTCAACAACTTCACAAATTGCTTCAGATCTTTCTGATTATCTAAGCAACTTAAAAAAACAGTAAAGGGGAAATCGATACACTTAATCCTATCGAATTTTATGGTTTTCTAATGGGATGGTGACAAAAACATTTTCTTCGTTCCGAAGGCGATCAACGCGTCTTAAATTTAGACGTGACAAAATGTACGATAAACTTAGCGAAAATAATTAAAGTTCAAAGTTAGTTCTCATTCGAACCGAATTAGGTTATGATTTTTGAGACTCTAGAGGTCTCGTCGGGCTGAATTCTTTTCGGTAGTTGTGTTATGTAGTCAAATAATAAGTATTTTCAAAAACAAAGATTGAAAACTCTCGATTTTAAACCATTTTTCTTTGATTTTTCCGATCTTTTTGATTTTTTTTCTAATTTAAATCAAAAAAATCAGCTTTTTCCCCCTTAGCACGTACAGATACAACACAGTGGTATCGAATTGCTTGCAAATATGACCCAAGAGACAAAACCTAGTGCATATATGGAATTGTAAATTGAACAATTTGTCAGCCTGGAAATAACAATAGTGAGTTGGAGAGCCAAAACTACCAACGATAAAATGCCTACACCGGCGGCCACCAACCATATCAGACGGTTGAGCCAATATTGGTTCCAAAATTTTGATATAGCTGCTCTTAATGAAGAATCCATTTTTCACTTTTACGAGAACGCTAAAACAATGAGTGAGACCGATTATATATACATGAAGATTGTAGATGCCTACTACAATATATATTCTTTGTAAAAACTAGCTCTACACGACAAATAAAAACATCTGATAAAGCCAGGTAAATGATAAACATGATAAGATGATAACAAAATTCTTACTCTTTATTTGTTATTAAAAACATCAACCTAGAATCACCGAAGAAAAACATGTTCGTTTCTCTTCTACTGTTATCTTGTTAGAATTTTAATCTTGAATAATCATGTGACATTCTTTAGTTTGAATAGAATAGTGATGCTCCGTGCGGTAGTCCCCATGTAAACACCAGACGCAAAATATACGCGTGCAATCGCGGTTTTGTTGTAAACCGCGTGCAATTGCGGTTTTGTTGTAAACCGCGTTCAGACGCGGTGAAAATCGATTTTCACTGCGCCTGAACGCATTTTCATTTAGAAGCACGTCTAGACGCAGCTGAAGAAAATTTTTGAACGCATCTCGACGCGATTATAAATGAAAACGTGTTTAATAAAAAAATATTCAAACGCGACTGGTTGCAGTTTGAGTTAGAGCGCGCCAAGACGCGGTCAGATTAAATTCTGAGCCGCAGCTCAACGCGTTTTTTTATGAAACCGCGTTTGTACGCAGGTAATAAAAACTGCTTACATACGTCTGAATGTGACTTTACAGGAAACTGCGTCCGTACGCGATTGACCAAAAACTATTTAAAGGAAGACATCAAATTTTATTATCTGCATTCCGGTCACACTTGGCAAGAATAGAAAGAAATGTTTAGTTTCTAGGTTTAGATACTTCATGTATAAGAGAAGGATATTTTTATCGCAACACGAATAAATTTCTTTAGAAACTTCACTTTTTAGTGTATCAAAAAAGTTATACGAGTGACCATTAGTATAATGAGACTATCTCTCTACTCAGCACTATTTCTATCAATCGATAGCCTGTTTTCAAAATAGGTGATAAATATAAACTAGTTTTGCATCAAACCATAGATCAAGAAGTCTGCTCTAAAAGACAAAAGAGAAAATTTATCTTCACTTTTTGATCAAAGAAATCTTTTTGAAATTTAAATTATAAATTATGTACTCAATTTGAACTTTGTTTGAAGGATAAAATATACTTTGTCATAAAATAATTGTACTTCTAGTGTTTAAATGTTGTAAGTGGCATAGTGTTCAGTTCATTTTGAATCATGTGTGTTGTTTTCATTTTATATTGTTACGGAAGTAAGATACACAAGAAAATATTCAAACTCAAATAGAAAATCTAATAGACAAATCACTTTTCTACATTTTCTCGACATATAACATCGTCTCTACATTACCCATCGCGTGCACATAAGAAACAAAATTGCAAACTATACACTTAGTGCTCTACTAACGTGTATATATTAGCTAAAAACTCAAAGAAGAAGACAGTTTAGAAATTAAAAATTATCTTTTTATATTAACGTGATTTGAAGAAAAGCTTTGCTAAATGCTCTTTTATATAATAAAAAAGGAAAACGAAAAAAGTGAATGATATTTGATAAAATAAAATAACTATATAATCAGTTCTAAAAGATAGGCAGCATTTAATATTATAAGTAATAGTCTTTTACAACAAAATAAATGAAAATCATTTGCGAAAGGAAAATTTTTCAAAAATTTTAAAGAAATTTTAATATATCCAATTTATTTTATGCAAGTTTATTTTCGTACAAGAATATGAATACTAACAAATGAGATATAATTTTGGCAGAAAACGTTCTATTGATAAATGCATTATGTACCTATAGATATGAAGTCACGATTTATATGTACTTTCTGTTTCATTAGACAGTGATTGTGATCACATGTGGCTTCATGGTACGTATACTTGCTTATAAATCGCTAGTTCACTTATTCGAATCTCATTTCTATCGTTTTAGATAAATTTACATTTCGACATTCCGCTCGCCTATAGTGAGGTAAAGACCATCGTTAGAGGATATCGATGGCGACTCAGATCAAACCTGAGACGGATTGTAATATTTTTTTTAAATTTTAAATATCAAATCGTACGCGGTCAGACGCGATTCGAAATTACACCGCGTCTAACCGCAATTTGGTTTGGAACCGCGTCTCCAGTGAAACATTTCTTGCGTCTAGACACGGTTCGAAAAAAACGCGTCTAGACGCAAGAATTGTTTCACTGGAGACGCCTTTATTGCGTTTTTCTCTTGTGATCCACACGCAACGAAACGCAACTCAGACGCGTTTTTCTCGAAAAAAAATTTACATGGGTCACGATGTGTGGTGAGTGTGGGGGTATAGCTGGTTGTGAATCAAGGGAAAAAACAGATTTCAAAAGATTCCGAAAGATTTCAAAAGACTCCAATTGAAGGAAATCTACATGGTCTCATAAATCTCTACTTGAGATGCTATAAGGGGAGTACCTTAGGTGGGGGTATGAGTGAGGGTGTGGATGTCAGTCTAAGTGTATAGATATCTTCAGCCATACCCCACACCCACATCCACATCCACACTCACACTCTCAACCACACCCACATTCACACCCACACCCTTCCAACCACACTCACACCCCACACCCGCCCTCATCAAACACCATACAGACAAATTTCATGACAAAAAACTATTGAAATATTTGAAACTGTAAGTTTTCAGCGTTATTTCACTCTTGAAAAAATCAAATTCAATGTTTCAATAGGTCCATAGTATTTTCATAGTTTTCTGAAACCAAATTTTTCCAATTGAATACATTCATCGATGGTTTTCATTCCACCACATGATGTTTCGTCACTAAGTGACATTGCACCAACACAAACGGCCAAATGTAATGTTTTATCTAACGGCCATTGTTCATGAATACCGTAAATCATTCCTGCAGCAAATGCATCTCCAGCGCCAACAGCACCTTTGATGAATTCAGCAGGCAAAATGGGCGATCCTTGCCGTAAAATATTTCCATCTTTGGTGATTAAAATTGCACCTTGTGCGAAATGGATTGTTACTGTTTTTCTGACGCCGATATCAATGAGTTGTTTAGCGATTTGTTAAATTTGATTGACATTATCACTTGTTAAATGTTGATCAAGAATCAATCCAGCTTCTGTTTCATTAATAATCAAATGATCTATAAACGGTAAAGATGCTTGAGCAACTTTAGAATAATTTGAATTTTTTGTAGTAGAAAAATCGACAATGGTTTCTAGTCCAGATAAAAGAGCAGCTTCTAATACTTTTGATGCATTAGTTCGTTTATTATCGTCAATGAGCTGATCCAATGCAGTTAACAGAGTTAAAGGACCAAGATAAAATAATTTTGCTGTCGTTTGAGAAAAATCAAAATGTTGTTCATTTAAATAGCCATTGACACCTTGTTGATGGAAAAATGTTCGTCGATTGGTATTTTCAACACTCATCACATAAGTGCAAGATGTTGGAGTAGAATCATTTATCGTTTGTAATTGACTTATGTCAATATGAGATTTCATACAATCTTCTATCACCCATTTACCATTGACATCATTACCTATTAAACCCAGAAGCGATAGTGGAAAATGAGCATTCATGGCCACAAGATTTTTAACTATATTAAACGGTCCACCACCACCGGCCATAATTGGTGGACATTGAACAAAAGATGTGCAATTTTCTATTGGCCAATGATCAATGATAATAATACAATCGACAATAACGCTACCACTAGCTAACAAACCTCTTCGATCAGTGCTTTTTTTCGTCTCAACTGGAGTATGTTTTATCCTTTTTTTTGGACAACACTAATTTTGTTCGAATCTAGAAATATTAAAATATAATCATTAATCGTATAGAACTCAAGGGCGCTTTTTTAAAATTCTGTACAGATTGACTTAATATAAAAAATTCATAACATTTTTCTGTATCGAAATATTCACAAACATTGACAAAAATTCACTCTACTAGGAAAATTAGGATTGCTTCCGTTTTGTGGAATAACACACGAGATCAGCATATTGAGAAAAGTATTCATTCTTAGAAGAAGCCGCTTCGTTATAGACAATGGTATAGTCCCAAAAGTTCAGAGATAATAGTGTATACAGCTATGTGCATGAGTAGTGATTGATCACATTTGAATTTTGAATAAGTTAAAAATAATTTCTTTGGTGAAACATCACTATAATCAACTCATCTTAAAAGAAACAAGAATAGCATTTGAATGCAGGAATTATGGATATTGTCTACCGATAATTACTGATCATGATTCATATTATTTTGAATCATTTTGATCAAATTCGTAGTCGAGTAGCCTACAATGAAAGAAATATTTCGAACACTACCACCATTATGAAGAAAAAAATCAGCTCCAACAATTGTGTCGATCGTGTAATCTCCACCTTTGACTAGAATGTTAGGTTGAACGACTTTGATTAGATCAAGTGGAGTCGATTCGTTGAACAATGTTACAACATCAACGAACTGTAGAGCGGCCAGAAGACGTGCACGGGCATATTCATTAACTATAGGCCGTCTTGGACCTTTAATCTTACGTATTGATTTATCGGTATTGAGGCCTACAATTAATTTATCGCCTAGTTTATGAGCTTTTTTTAAATAATCGATATGTTCCAAATGAATTAGATCAAAACAGCCATTGGTAAATACAATAGACTATCCTTTGGAACGCCATTCTTCAGCTAATTGAATGACTTGTTTGAGGGTGAGAGTTTTTGATTCTGTATAGTATGATAATTGTACGACATAAAATCGCTTTAAAATTTCAATCTAAAAATACGTCCATTGAAAACAAATATAAGTATAGAAAGTATAAAACTATTGTAAAGATCATTTTATAAAATTTTACGAATCAATATAAAAGATGAGCTTTCGATCAACAATAAAAGTCATCATTAGATATTCTAATTTGCGAACAACTTTTCATCTTTACTTGTTGTTAGAAACAAACACATATATTGACAATAAGATAAATTTGATTTTTACGTGATCAAGGAGAAAAATTGTGAGGAAAAAAAAACAGGCAGATGAAAGAAAAGTCATTCGCAAGTCAAAATGTCTGATTAATTTTATATAGCCTATACTTATAAGAAAAATAGGGCGTTTATCAACAGAGTTTTGCTCTTTTTCTCTATGATCTATGTCATTAAAAAATAAACAATCATTTAGTTAATGATATTAGAGTCAATTGATCAATAATAACCAATTATTTGACCTCCTGTTTATCATGAAAACAGTCTCTTATAGTTAGTATCTCTTCATCAACCTACAATAGTTTTACAGCTGTATTATGATAATTATTCAATTTAAAACTCAGTCTGGAAATAAAACATCTGTATAATGATCAGGACTATGATTTTCCTGTCGTTTTGTCTTAGTTAATGATTCGAGTGTAAAACACCATAATCCTATTACCTGCAAACGATAAACGATAAAATGCAATTATAACTTGCAGGTGACACTTCAAAAACACGTATGTATACATTTTATAGTCATTTAATGATGTGTATGATCAAAAAATTGTATACACTTTTATTAATACGTGAAACGCTTGATTGAAGTCGATAACATGGCCTAAATACGATATGATTGGATACGAATCTACAGCCAATAGAAAGAATGCACGTCTCTGGCAAAATTAAACTTAAGCAGAATTTGTTTCTAATTCAACCCAAAACTACAAAATAATTTTCTTTTTTTTTGATAATTCGAATTTTCATTTACAGCAATAAATCAGTACGCACTGTTTTGTTTTTAAACTAGACAGAATAATCATTTTGACTAATTCAACCTGTAATATCTGCATCACTATCCAATTATTCATCGACATCGAAAAATAAATTTCGAAAGTATTTTTCTAAACAAGTCAATCAAGATTTATTGAATTCTGATAGAAGACAGTGATTATTCTATCACAGAGAATACGTATACTACAAAATCCTTTATTCTTTTTATTCGAAACATAACTCAACAAAACTTAGGAAAAAATTATATTTATACTCTACATTTTACCTATAAACAATACTAATTTCATAGACAAATAGGAATTGATAAAAAATACTACTCAAGAAGCATGTAGTTAAAAATCTTTTCTGTTTTTTTGGTCAAAGCATGCTAAAATAAACTACATAGATTTCAATCAAATATACTGGTGAACTTTGTAGTTTCTTAGATTTAACTAAACTTAAATTAAAATTGACCACATCTTAATATATATTACAGTTGATATGACAGTGCAGTTGATTTTGGAATGTGAAAAATAATTGTAAAAGATTCTCTTAGGAAAAAATTTATAATCAGAATAAAACTTTAGAAAATAGGAGAACCAATCAATTTAGACTAGAGTTCGCAAAATAAAGTCATATTAAACACCATAAAAAAAAGCGTTGATTTTTTCTTTATATTATCAAACGATTATCCAAAATTTACCAAGAATGATTGTATGGCATGTACAATCGGTTATAGTACTTAGACACCAAAATTTAACTTGTAATGCCATTCGTGCTTACAGTTATTCATTATGCTCTAATATAACAATTACATGGTACCCATCTGGTGAAATGCATTCTTATTTTTCACAACCATCTTATCTCTCACTGCTCGTCTGAATGAATACTTAAGAAAATAACATTTTTGTCGAAAACTTTCAATAATCATTCGATGTTCGCATGCTCCCATTATATAAAAAAATATGATTTAACTATCCATATAATTCAAGAAAAAGAAGCCATAAACATACTACTAATCAGTAGTGAAAAACTTATAACAAACTTCAGATATTCTTATTATCAAACTACATTAAAATAGTCAAATTTTATTATCGACAAATAAAATTCCTCGTCTATAAACGGATAATATCACTTAAGAATTAAGTACTTGAAAAAATTAAAGTTGTTATTGGCAAACTATTTACTGAAAAGTTTATATAACTAAATTTAATTTTGCCTAAAACCCAATTTTGTCTGGCATATATGTTTTCTCTTTTGTCCTACTCAATTTCTTAATGATGAACTCTATGTGAAACCAGTAAGGTCATCTTTTCTTGAGATATCTGGAGAAAAATTTACGAATTTTCTTAACAGAAATTCATACAATAAGCGATAATGCAAGGAGTTTATTTCACACGATAGCAGTATTGTTCTCGGTAGCTACTGTATGATAACTAGCTCTTACATATTTGATTCCTTGCATATTTACAACTTTAAAAAAAATTCTTCAACATTAATTTTCTAATCAACTTAATGGAAATATTTAAAAAGAAAAACTATTAGATACGAATCACTGTTCTATTCGATCTATTTTAATAAAAAAATTATTTTGATCGAACTCAAATTGAAATAGAAAACAAATTCATTACTGAGCTCAAAGTAGATCAGACACCTCGCTATGCTGTTTTTTGAAAACCGTACAAAGAATGTAAATTCGATTGACTTCAAACTTTTACCGATCATTCGTCTATGTGCGATCTATCGTTGGTCATAGCAGCAAACCACGTCAATGAGTGTAGGTGGTATTAAGCCAAGATGATATTTGGAATCAGTTCGTCGAATTGCATACAATCTAGGGTGTGGAGTGTGGATGTGTGAGTGAATTTGGGTGTTGGTAGGTAAGTGTGGATATATGCCTTCTTTTCACCTACACCTACACCTACGCCCTAGTTTTGAACGAAATAACAGAAGTTTTTCTGCTGATGTAATGTCCTTGTCTGTATGCATTCACGTATCTAAATGTAGTCGAGTATGTTCAAATTAACTGTCTTATCTGATTACTACTTTCAGTAGCAGCATCACTGAAATGGCGCATTCCAATTATAGATATAGTTCGGTGTGATTTATTTTAAACTAGAAGTTCATCTAAACTTGTATTTTTATAGATGACGGTCTGGCAAGTGACATTGTTGGTTGAATGGCCAGTAACCATACTGATTTTTAGTAGAATCTTCAAGGAGTCTGGTGCGTTTTCACGCCAGTGTCGCGAATATATTTTCCTTGGTGATCCTCTCAATAAATTGAATGTATCTCTCTTTTCTCGGGTACATCTGAATACTACTATCTTAATGTAGTTAATTTAGATTTCCATTGGGTATTTGTGTGCGGGCGTCAGTTTGATTGGATGAATTAATGATAAAAAGCATCACAGAAGTACGCATACCATCATGCACAAAGACACTGATGTGAATATCAACATCCACATTCGTATCCACCCTTTTTCAAACATTGGATACTAGTTTTGTCGAAGGTTATAAAGCAGTATATAATACTAAAAGAGCCAAGTATTCAGTTGAGGATCAAGCGAGTTACACGAATGAGCGTTACTTGTGATGTTCCTGGATCAAAATCTTTGAACGGTTGGATAGAACTCGTCAAGTTATATTAGGAAAAGTCGTTTCAAATTTACCCAGAAAATTTTACGAAACCTGAAGTTCCAGTATATCTTCTCTTCTATCTCAAAATACCGATATTTTGAACTTCTTTTCGTAAAGTTTTCTGAGTGGTCTAGAAATATGACCTTGTCCTATGTAACTCGTCGAGCTCTATCAAACCATCATCATAAATAATAATAAAAAATCTTTCAAAATTTTGAACTGTGTACACCATACATACACGGTTGACACTTTAAAGTTCAAAGATCTCAATCTAGGAACGTTACGAGGATGTCATATTTTAAATTTATTAGTCTGCCAATGAGACCTTCAATTTAACCCGAATATGTTCAATATCCTTGAATTACAGCACACAGGTCTTTATTGTAACATAAGAAAAAAAAACTCGTCTATTGACAGAAATTTCATTTTTTGTCTTTTCCTAATCTTTCTTTTCTTCTTTATATTTATCACAACATTTATGGTGCGATAACCTCGAGAGTAGAAAGTATAATATAACAACTAGGTAAAACGGTTCGCTTCTATATAGGGTATGAGTGGGTTTGAGTCTGTATCTCACTGAGTATATAGATGAAGAAAAGATCAATACTCAAACATAACCTCCGCATCTTTACACTCAAGCTACAGTCGCAGACATATCCTACTCATGGTAGTGTACATGTAAAAAGACCATACTCAGGCAGTGAATCAAGTACGCTGTAATCCATAATAGTTATTGAAAATAATCATCGAAGTCTCACTCAGATACTATAAATCTGTCGTTCAGAGACATAGCAAAGCACTAGGAAGAAAACGCGGAAATCTTTGTGCTGAGTACTATAATATTGTTCGTCTATTTAAACTGAGTTGAAGACGAAATTTATAATGGTTCACATGGTCTAAGTCCTTACAAATTTCATCAATTGACTGATAGTTAGAAAGTAGCTTTGCATTCAAGCAAAGTTTAGTGATGTTCTGGGTAATGTGGTAAATTCGTTTCAACAGTGAAAAGATATAATATAGTAGTAAATATTGACAACCGGTAGTGGCACTACGAGTGTTGCAACCTCTCTAGTCTTAGATCGTCAATTATTGGAATGATATTGGATATCGAATCTTTTTGTAGCTAGAATAGAATGGCAAGAGGAATTTAAATGATAATATATTTATTTCTTTTATTGTTGTAAAATAAGAAGAAATTAAACATTAATTAATTCAAACAAATCACTATTAAAATCTAAAATAAATTGCCGACATATCAAATGCGAATCGACTCGATTGTTATTATTGTTGCAAGAAGAGTTACAATTAGAAAAATGATGTATCAATTTGATTATCATAAAAGAATCTAATATGTTCTTCATTCCTCAACCTTCGATGAGGCTTGATTTGCACAGGACTTGCGTTATCAGTCCACAAGAACTTGTTCAAAAAAGTTGAGAATGTTCCACTTCGTACAAGAATAGCATTAAGCGGACCAAGCTTTGTTGAACTTCGACTATTTTGATAATTTTGGTTCGCTTTGCAAAGTTCTTGTTCGACTTCTGTATTGATGGTATTCTTGAGAATTTGAAGTTGTTGTGCATCAATCTTGTGTTCTTGATCCTCAATCAATTCCAGAAAGATGACATATTGAGCCGGAAATACATCTAATCTTGGATACGACGCAAATTCGTAAGAGTTAACTGGTATTCCTTGTTCTCGCCATTGACAAACAGTTTGTTGAAGAGCATTTATCAAATGTTGTTCATTTGTTTTCTCGCCAAATACACTCAAAAGAGTTCCAACACGATATGCGAGTGAAATGAGAGGAATTCTTGGAATCTCGATTGGTTCTTCTGGTAATGAAACCAAGTCATCGGCTCGACAAAGAAATCTCGTGCAATTGATGACATCTCCCATTCTGTATCGAACCAATCCGGCATGGGTTGTGCAAACCAATTCATATCGATGTCCGGGTTCGAGCTCTGAGATAAGAAGAGTTTTTGGTTGAGCCTGAACAAGAATTAGCATAGTGAAAACGGAATAAAAAGGTATAGCTAAAGATAGCGATATAGCTTAGATTTAGAAGATACCATGAGATCTCTGCAATGTGTGGATGTGAATGGTGATGAAGGAAAAGTTATGGGGTTCTATCCAATGTTTGTATGTGGGTGTGGTCTGAGTTTCTCTGGTTCCGGTGTGTATTGCGTTATGTGTTGTTATGAGTTTAAATAAGAACAAACTCACTCACACTGACGTCAAGACTGTTCAAAATTTTATTAAGCTAACCTTCTCCAGTGAGTTCTGAGAATTCTATGCATTCTGAAAGTTCTGTGGATTATGTGAGTTCCATTATTTCTGAAGGTTCTGTGAGTTTCAGGATTCGGTGGATCCGATAAGTTCTTTGGGTTCCATGAGTTCTATGTTTTTTTTGAATTCTGTCGATTCAAAGAGTCCCATTACTACCATGAGATCCGTGCGCTCAGTGGGTTGTGTGAGTTCCCAGAGTTCCCTAAGTTTCTGGGATTTCGTTAGCTGTTTTGTTCTAGTGAATTACATGCGAATTATAAATTTCAAGAGTTTCAGGAGTTCAGAATTCATGGCATTCGATCACGTCTAATTCTATGCAAAGTGGCAGCCGCTAAAACACTGTTAGTGATGCTAAAAATCAATCAATATACTACGATTTAGTAAAGCCTGCACTTGAAAAATTGTCATTAACAATAGGAATATTCCCATGCTTAATGATAAAACATTCGTTTGTTTCTACACTTTCATCGATGCTTCCTTCTTCAACATTTACTAGGAGTTCTGTTGCGTTGTAACACTGGGGCTATCTTCAAGCTATGTAACTAGGTGAATACTTTCCTGCAGAAGAAACAATTAGAAAGTAAAACTTGATTACATGAATACGAACTCAATCATGAGTCACTCATTCTGTGATGGAAACGTATAACTCAATCAGCTTTCATCAAAATCAAAGGAGAAGGTTGTATGATTCAAAAAGCAACTCTTCAAGATTACTCTTGGCTAGTTTTCAAGCAAGAATTCATATCATTTCGATTCTTCAGAAAAAATATCTCTTTTGCTAGCCGATCAGAAAAAGTAAAAGAAAGCATTTCAATTGATGCGCGAATTAATGAGATGAAGAACATCCAGACTTTTTTTCAAAAACTAATACTTTGCGAAACGAAATCGGCTTATCGAGTTTTCTTTGACCAGTCTTCATGAAAAGTTTCCATTTAATTTATAAACAATAAATATTCTTGCTCAACTAAATGTGCTCTATTCTGAAGAAAACGTAAAGTGAAAGCTTTATTTAAAATTTGAATTTCAATCGCCTTACTTGCTGAATATCTTCTTCTTTGATGAATTCGAAGAATACATTTGTTGGTAATAGAAGATACTCGTCAGTGTGAATACTTGCGATGACACCAAAAAATCCTTCACTTGCACCATACGCGAGTAGATTGATCAATGGTAGCCGTTCTCCACAACAGAATTGTATATCGGCCTTGTACATAGCAAAAGTGCTTCCTATCGCCGTCGAAACATAAAGCAGAGATGGCCAAAGACGATGAAGAATACCGGGAACATTCTTTTTCAAACATTCATTTCGAATATGTTGAGCTCGTTCCAATCGATATATCTCTCCTCCATGCTCAACTATAACTTCGTTCAATCTTTGATTCAAGGTCGATATGACGTCCGAATCAGAAATATTCTTTTGAACGAGTGAACTATGATCAAAATTGGCAGTCGAAATACAATGACTGATTTCTTCAAAATAATTTTCAATGAGCCTGATGGTGTGCATGAATCCTGGAGCAAAAACGACTGTGTATGAGTAAATATTCAGATTTGCAAGTGCAAAAACAAGTTGAACGAATATACTTGTATCGAAATCAGTAATTCCTTCAATAGTATCCAGTGCTAAGATATTATCAACAGACACCAATGTATGAGTTCGAGGAGAGGATGCAATAGCTGACAAATATTGACTAACGGGACCAATTGGTGTGCCGTCTTTTGATCTTGGAAACATCTCAGACTTCCTCCCACTTTGCAACAAGAATGATCGTTGTTTAAGAGACCGATTTGATAAAGAAGGCAATGATCTCCGTATAATATGAGTTCCCAATCGTCCTGATTCGTCAAGTTTATTCATTGTCATCGAAGTCACAGGAAGGAGTTTGATCTTTGCCGTCGTTCCAGAACTTGTAGCAAAATAAACTATGTTTTCGGACGACAGCAAGTTCTTCTCTCCGTCGAGAACCATTCGATCAATATAATCACGATAGTCTTCATAAGTTGTTAATGGAACTTTTTCTCGAAACTCATCTATCGATGCATACCCATCTTCTCTCGAAACAGTACTGTGCGTCGACAAGCATGAAATTGATCGATCCATAAAGAATGCACATGAGTGATTCTTCTGAAGAATTTCTTCCAATAGTTCATTGTTAGTTGTTTGAAAATTGCAAAGTGAATTTTGATAATACGACACGAATAGATCCGTGTCCAATTCTTGCAAGTTTGAATCCATTAATTTTTGAAGTTAAATAAGTTACTCTGACACGATTCCTGAATAGTGTATAGAAGAGAACTGTTTTACCTGGTTGTTAAATTATACTTTGTGCCCTTCAGATTTTCATGTCATAAATATTGTAATAAATACAAAGAAGAAAAGAAAGATTAGGAAAAGACAAAAAAAAGAAACTTCTGTCAACAAATGAGTTATTTTATCTTAAACGTAGTAATCTTTTTGTTGACGCTTCAGTCTCTAGAGCATCTCTTATCAAATAAAGGATCGAGATACAGCTTCCAGGCAAAATTCGACTAGAACAACGAAAAATGAACGGTAAACTCTATTTTCAAGACATGATTAACCCTTTAAGTACTGACGTACTTTATAAAGTACGGTTTTTCGAGTTTTGTAATCTTTGAATAACTCGCGAATACAAAGAGATATTGAGAAGCGGTTTTCTCTATTACATAGAGAAGACTTCGGTGCATATATCTATATAAGAGTTTTAATCCTAATGAGGTCCCTCAAGTAGTAAGCCTGATGGATTTTTGGAACACCATCGGTATTCTAAAAAACTTGTTCGCCATCCTCGCAGGAGGGTATAGGCATGGGTCGAAAATGACTCTGAAGGTTTTTTAAAAAGTTTTGATGAAAATATTCACAACACACACTGCCCATATTCAATATAAAGTCTCAAAGAAATTTCATCTATTGGCTAAGCCATAGGCTTAAAAGGGTTAAGTTGGTCATTTTCTTGGATGGAAAGATATGAATAGTGAAACAAGAAATTTTCGAGGCAAACGGTGTTAATTTCCAAGTTGTCGAAAACGAATCCAGCACGTATGGCAAGAAATGTCAAGTTTAGCTTTGTTATACTGAAACTAATCATTTTCAATTATATCATCAATTAGAAGAATAGATCTTCTAAACTCTATTTTCACACTATAATAAATGATGGTTTACGAACTAAATGTAATTTTTGTATGCTTACGATAGTAGTATCATTGTATCCATTTTGAATGTGGATGTGAGTTAAATGTTTTTTGTGAAAACCAGACTCTTGATAACTTGGATGGGAAATTAATATCATCCGGCGTGTGCGCTGCAGATCAAGACAAATGCTAGCGAAAAAGAAAAGTTGAGATTTCTTTCAATTTTCTTTCCTTTCTTACACTATAAATGTTGAATTTCTTCCCTATGGTTGAAGTCGGTTTCAAAGCTGTAGTAATACAGGAAGCAATTCTTCAATTAAAATAAAAATCGCAAGATATAGACGAATATGACATATCTATTAACGATTCAAACACTAGTTGTTCATATAGTAAGCGATAGCTTCAATTGTATTCATCTACTAGTGAGACGCTCTATTAGACTTCAGTGAAATGATGCTACTTGGCTGCCGATTCCTAATCTGCTAGTGAACCTATCGGATTATTATCTTGTCTGACCAATGCTTAATCTCGGCTGGATTTTGTTGAACGGCAAGTACTGAGCACTTAAGTTTCATACTCTTCATACTGATTGGAAACGATATAAAATTTTCATTCTGTTGTCAAAAGAGAGCTAAATTGGACATTTTGAAAGTAGTAAATCGGTAAAATATCAGTCTCCGCCAACCTGTAAATGGTCTCAAGCATATGGCTTTAGCCCTGGCTTCATGGATAATTAGTACGATATATAGAATTGTTTTGAACTGTCATAGAAGTTCTAGTTAAGGACGTTCCTCACCAGAATGAGGATTTTCCGAAGACACAATCCAGTTTGACTTAAATAACGATGCTAGGCGTACGATACAATGATAGGATGTAGAAATAACAAGGATTCCTTGATAAAAGTGAACCTTGCTGTAGAAGAGTTAAAATGATTGGACGAAGTCCTGAAAACATTGGAACATATATTTCATTCAATCGTGATTGAACGATAAAACGAACTTTGCTTGATTATGCTATGGTTGGATGTGTGGATGTGGGCGCTGGTGTAAGTGAAAGTATGGGTATTGATGTTGACGTCCTCTTCAGCTACGCTCACACCCTAGGTGTAAAAGTAGATTTAAGTTTACTTTGCAGTTGAAGTTTTTATACTCATTCATCTGCAATACTTATCAACATTCGTCTCGATAGACAAAGAAGATAAACGATTTTTTATTGTTTGTCTTTGTTATTTCTCACGTGATACATATGTTTCTTGCTTCTTCTTATATTAATTATTACTTCATCAACCTATATTCTCTCGTATTCTTGGTTGTATTCATGCTTTTCATGTCACTGTTCGACTTTGTTATTTCTTTCGTTAACTATTGACGGAACATATATCCACCTTGTTTTCTTTTTCCTTTAACTGAATCATTAGTTATTTAACGTCAGTTATTCGCTATAAATCGATGAGCAACTCTTAATAACGTGATCTACACAACAAAAAAAGAACTATCCACTATTTTGTCACATGACTGTCACTAATGATGTGAATAGAGAGAATTTCTTGTCGGATAAAGACTTATTTTTTAAGAAAAACAATGTCTCTTAGATCTGACTACCTTCAGAACATTCATACAGGTAGCTAAACAAAAACAAATAGGAAAAGTTGATTTCTCAAGCGATGATTAATAAAACTATGGGCAATTTTTTTTTCATTCTCAAATGAAAATCGTTCATCGAGATTTTCAATGTAATAGACTAACCTCATTTTGAATAACAATTCTACAAGTGTATCGAAGGATGTTCATTGTCTATCATTGATTCTTCCTTAACATTATCATCTTTTGTTAAATCAATAATTTCTATATTTGTTTTCGAAGTCATAACATGATACATAGCTGAAAAATCTTGAAAAAAAAAATTATTCTTTCTGTCAACAGTTTCCCAATTTACTTTTAATAATGAAGTTAATTATTTGATTTAATTCAAAGCAGCTATACAATTATATATCTTTACAGTACAAAAAAAACCTAATTTGATTTAATAGACATTGATCAATCGAAGAAATCGAATTTTAATTTTGAATTGAATTTAATATCACCTGATGGAATTTTGAAGAAAATTAAATAGCTAAAATATTTGATGAAAAATACTGGAATAACACAAGTATAATCTATGTGTAAAAATATCATTATTTTTACTATTATAAGAAAACAAATAAATAAGTAGAAAGAAACAATCCTTCTCAGAATGTTAAAAATTTGAACTGGTGCACTGTGTACACTAGGTATCGACATACATCGATTGTGTCAAACATTCGATATAAGCCTCGACGTTCAATGCTAACTGTATCAATAAAATTCTTCACAGTCGTACAATGATTAGACTTTTCAGTTTATCTTGTTTGTAATACATGGTTCGTATGTAAAGGTATGTGAAAAGATAGTATCCAATATATTTTTAAAATGATGAAAGGTTTTGAAAAGAAGAGATGTAAAGTAAAAAAAGAAAAGAAAAATCACACTCATGGAAATTGAAATTTTTCGAATCAGCAAGTGTAAACACTAAATTCTTTCTCAGTATTTTCATGATATTGATGAAATGCACTATTTTGAAACAGTAATTTCAAATAATGAATCAAATATCGTACTGTCTTTCATAAGGAAAAAAATAAGGCGAGAATCGACATGATAAGCAATGAGAACTCATCAGTTTTTGATATACAGAAGAATATGTCGATATTTTTCTTCATGTACATGAAAAGGGTATGAGTGTGAGTGTTGAAAGGAGAGACACCCACATCCACAGCTACATCATTGAAATGATCTGTAAAGAATAGAATGCATGATAAATACGACTTGATAAAAATAAAAAAAAAAGAAACAGCCACAACTTGTTATTCAATCAAGATGATCAAGACTGACAATGTCACTCTTTTTGCACCTAAAGTATTCGTATGTGCAGAATATTGAGCATGCAGCACAAATATGCCACAAAGTCCACCTATTAAAATCATCGATAAAGCAACACCAAGTAATAGCATTTGTTTTTTATTCACTTTTGAAAATACTATATAGACAAATTCAGAAATAACAGAAATAATAATACATCCAATTACTAATATTTTTTCCCTATTATCATATGATTCCGGATAATAGACATCACTGGCATGTCAGAGTATGTAGGCAATGAGAAGAAACATAAATGTGAACAGATAAAGAGTAACCTTTTTATTATTGATGCGTATATGTTGCATAAGACTATAAAGTGTAATGAACGATGTGACAAGCCACATGCCTGTTATATCAAGTCGATGTCCGAATTGACATCGACATGCATGATTAAGCCATGATCCAAATGCATGTACACAATTGATCAGTCCATTTATTACGGATAAAATTATTATTTTTGTAAGATTATTTGATTTTGTTTCAATTGATCGAACAAGCATATAAAATCCAACACCGAGAAAACTAAAATCGGACATTGAATTGGCTCTTTCACGTAAAAAATTCCGTGATCTATCATATTCACAAAAAGGTATACCATTGATCAACTGTTGTGTACTCGATTCATAGTGAGACCATGGTATTGTATCAGCAAGATACCAGTCTAAGACGAGGACACCGATGCAAAGAGTAACAAACAAAAGAATAAAGAAACAACGTGCCACGAGCATGATTAATGCTAAAATTCAAGTATAGCTGTTAATTTGATAAGACAATACAATAAAGGATGTTTCATAAGTTCTGAACTTCGAGTAGACAGTTCACTATTTCAAACACATTGTATTGGTTGACAATATCTCTATCTCTCTTAATACTAGTAATATAGACATGAGAAACGTGATCATCAAATTTTTGTAATCGACGAGCCGTGTCTTGTTTTTTAGAATTTTTAACAATACGGTGATGAATACAATTTCACACAGAATAATACAATAATAGACACTAACGTATAATTAGCTTGACTGTTAGATTTAAGACGATTCGTGAACTACTATTTAGATCATCAATCAATGTGTTGTATACTGAATAAATAGTATCCTTTGTAAAAATGTATTCATCGTATTATTAAAAATCTTTAAAAAATTGCTAGTCGATTTGGAAAACGTGGTGATCACACTTCTTATGCTTATATTATTATTTTTAAGAGAGATTATGTCCATCAATAAGATGTATTTGAAATATTGAACTGTCTACTCAAAGCTTATATAGTTATATTTAGTTAGGAATCATTCTTTGTCTATAAATAATCTAGCTTTTGTCGAGACTCAGAATTTATAAAACACGATTTATATACTCATTTTGAGAGTTAAAAATACAAGCACGAGGTGTGAATGTGCATACTTACATCTACACCTCATACCCTTGGTTTAATGAAATATATTTGAATGAACTCAAGCCTATTATTCACACAAAAAATACAACATTTTTTATGTATAACTATTCTTTTCTTTTTCTTTTTGTTCTTGTTCTTTACTTTAACATTGCAATGTACAAGCAAACGTTTTTTACCTTTGTATTACAATATTAAAGGAAAGAACAAGAACAAGAAGAAAATAAGAGAATAGTTATACATAAAAAATGTTGTATTTTCTATGTTTCATTTGTGTTAATAATATACTGAAGATCAGTCCAAAATATTCTCTAATTCTTTTAAATAAATTCAAAGAAAATGATTCATAAACTCGTATTCTTAGTTATTAGTACGTCTAAATATATTTCATTGAATGAAATTTGAATCGGGACTGTAATCGAAACTCACACGAGCTTTGTAGTGCAAAATGAAATCCAAACTATGATTCAAATCAACTGACCTATCTATTTTTGAAAGTAGACTTTGAGACTGGTATTCGACTTTGATTATGTAATGGAGCGGCAAATTTTCATCAGTGATAACTCACTATTTTGTCACTTCAGCTCACAATGATGAAAGAAATCGATGAATGTATAGTGTTGCGCACATGTTAATGTTGATTGTATTTATATTCTATCGCTGTTGAATATGCTGTTCGTATGCCGTAGGACAGAACAAGAAAAGTGGCGATAGTATACTTATGAAACAAATATTAAATCTTATTACATTATTATGCGCAATCGATACACGTATATGAATGGTTGTGCATAAACTAAATGTATCACACAACATTGATACATAAGCTTTCAGATAAATATGATAACTAAGTATATGTTCAAAATGAATAGATCGAACAGTTACGTTCGTACAACTGAAGTTAATTCAAATGAATAGGTACGAATGATCAACATCAACAATGTATGATGATGACAATGATATGGAATAACGAGAAGATCTACTTCGTTCATTACCACAAAATTCTCACATGCTACGGCATTGTTATCAATTCATCGAATTTATATGAGCTCGTAGTGCTCAACCATTTATTCATCAAATATGCTATGGGCAGAGTATTCAAGGTCAACAATCAATTCCTTCTATTTTAAATAGTAAGACAATATATTCAGCACAAATCATCAACTTCGAAACATGTTCGACTTCTAAATAATAGTAATAGATCCATCAGTTATGCACCGAAATAACATAAATCAATCGAAGATATCCTCATTCAAATGGAAGATACGACAGTAATTAATCAACAACAAGGGAAATCGCTTTTCTCCAATGAACTAAAACGAGCTGTATCTTCTAATTTACTTTTTTTTTTCATCGAATTCGAACAATCTAATAATTCACGGCTGTTTTCATCTGCATTTGAAGCTAGAAATATTTTTGAAAAGGGTATGAGTATGGGTAAAGACGGAGAACTACACTCACACTCACATCCAAAGAACATCAAATCAAAGAAAAAGTTCTACCTCTGAATCATCCCTATTTGGTTACCTCCTTCAACAACATCGATAAACTATATTGCAACATGGGTGGCTACTAGAAAGTACTCGAATTTCACGAAAAAGCATATAAAATCAAAGAAGATAAAAGCAGTGGCCATCTATCAAAAATAATTTCCACCAACACATTCTAGCATTGAAAACGTCATGAGAGGTACTGACATGCCGAAAAAGAAGTTGTTTTCTTTGTTTTGTTGTTGTTGTTCTGACTTGCTGAATAAATTTGGCTTGGATTGCTATTCACTTCTTTCTTGCTCCTTAGGAAATCTACGCACGAGTGCGACTAAGAGTACTTTCCTTCGCCTGCCACGGGTACCACAGAGCGGACTACGTCACAAAGATCGAATAATGAACGTAGATGGGCGATCAAATAACGACAACGGTTACCTACAAATATTTAGGACCTCCTCATTTTTACATTATCTCGCCATAACAGAATGTCTAATTTGATTTTTAATCTGGCATGCATACTGCACGGCGTGTATTGTACAATACAGATGTGCTACAACAAAAGAACATTCCACTTGAAACAGATGTTTCAACGCTTATCTTAATATTTTCTCAAAACTTTATTTTAGATAAGTTTTCTCAACAAAAAATATTCTGGAGCTCAGAGTTTTCTCGTTCTACTCCTTCATTAAAACATAATAAATTAATCATATTTTAAACAATAGAAAATAATATTCAAGAAAATAACGGAAAGGAATACTATAATATTGATAAATATAAGTTGTTTCAATAATGCAAATCAATATAAAAACTAATTGAAATATAACCAGGATAAAATCATATGATAAGCATATTTTTTTTTTATTATGCCTGTTTATTTTTAGTGTGCCGCTCGGAGCATTACGTGATACCTGATCACTAACTAACTTTTTAGAGCATCTAAACTACCCATCTGATGAAAACCGCAGAAAACCGTCGGTTAACCGATGTTTCTGTTCAGGCAATCGGTACCGTTTGGTCTTTGTTTTTCTACTATTTAAAGTTAAATTTCAGTAATTTTTCCATTAAACTATTTTATTTTAAATAAAAATAAAAATACATATAAAATAAACACCAAAAATATATACAAGACTGACCTAAAAAGAAAAAAAAAGAAAAAAACTAATCTAAAAAGGATTAATCTAAAGTGATAAATATTAAAAACTTAAATGTTTCATTCATCAAGCAAACAAAAACGAATGAATGATGCGATAGACACACACATGTACATATAGACATGATTTGTTTTTTCGTTCTGCAGCTATTCTTTTGCTCTGGTTTACCGAAGAAATTATCGGTGAACCGCCGGTTTTGTCTAATATCGCGCCTGATCGCTAAAAATGTTTCGGTATTCGCGACATGGGTATTGACGTGTCTCTAAAGTTTAATTAACAAGATAATACTGGAAAGGTCCAATTGTTGAGTTGAGTGATTAAAATTGTCCATATTGGAGAAATTGTGATTCTGTTCTATATCAATCAATGAATGAGAATCATGTTACCAGTTACGACTGGTCTCGTTTTTTTTTCACTTTTCTAGAGTGTAGAAGATGCTTTACCCCAAGCCTCAAACATAACTCATGATTATTTATCTTTGAATTGAAGAGTTCTCGTAATAGAATGTACCGTCGTAGAACAAAGAGAACCCTAGGTCCGTCATGTGCGCTTTTTATAATCGTTTTTGGAGATATTTGCATATGTACGATTCAACTCATTTTTCTTTTGTGAATTTGAAAATGTTTTTGGCCTCGATCTTTGGACACCTATGTACTAATCGCAGTCCTACTCTGTACTTCCTGCAAAAAAGTTCTTGTTGAAAGTGTAGTAATGTTGAAAAGAATGGCGAGATTCAGATGGAAAAGAGAAAGGAATATGCAAACAAAAAAAAGTTCTTAACAGTTGTGTGAAGATATTTTTACTTCGTTGTAGCCACTTTAATTTACTATAGGAATTTTGAAGTTTTTCAAGACATTTGTGTACAGTAGACTGAAGAGAAATCTTATCTATCCATGTAAAGCCTAAATATTTGAACAATCTTACATTTGCTAGTTTATTATTTCTCATTTTTATTTCTAGTGCACGTTATTTGTGAGTGAAAATTTTGAACAACTATCTTCAACATATTTATCGGCTGCTTCCATTTCCTTGCATATTGGAAAAGATTCTGTCAGACTTTTGATTCTACTGAATTAAGAAATTTTATTATCATTTAATAGTTTCTGTGTATTGATGCAACTATTAACGTATTCAGGTCGTCTACAAAAAGATATGTTTGAGGAGCTCCAACATTACTTATTATATCTGGATGATAGATTATGAATATGTATGAACTTAGTGAGCTTCCCAGTGAAAGACCAATGTGTGCCTTGAAAACTTCTGATTTCATTTAGCCGAAATAGTTATAGACTTCTTTAATTAGTCAATCAACTAATCAATATTGTTAATAATTCTACTGGAATTTGCATTCTGAACAGTTTAACAACAAGTCCCATATGTCACATGAGATAGTATGCTTTTTTGCATAGTATACATAAATACCTAAAGTTAGTATGTTGTCTGCTAAGTTATTGTTAATCTCTTGATATACTGACCGTAGTCTAGTTTGTAATTAGTAGTCCTTACGAAATCCTCATTGTTTGATCGATATTTTCCTATTAGGTTGAGGCAATTCTTTTACTCTCTTCAAAAGAATCCTTTCATATAATTTTGACTGAGTAACTAGAGAAGAGATAAGATGGATTTATTCACAAGTTAGTATTCCTGTTTTCAGTTTATTTAAAGTAATGATATTAGCTGTTTTTCAATGTTCACTATAATGGTGG